CTGTCAGGTTCCCCCGTTTACTGTTTCAATAAGGTCGCCTCTTGTTCTTCTAAGCTCCAATGAGTACAGGGCCCACTGACTCCACCTCTCCTCAAAGGACAGTCCCTCCATTCCCAGGAGCAGCCAAATGAACCTTCTCTGGACTGCCTCCAATGCAGGTCTATCTCTGCTTGGATACGGGGCCCCTAAACCATTCACTGCATTCCAGCTGTGGTCTGTCTAGGGCCTTGTAGCGTTCTCGACATTCCCTCCCCTTTGAAAGAGGGCTGGGAGCTAGTAGATGGGCCAAACAGCCTGCTCGTATTTGCAGATGTGCCGGTGAGGGAGGAGGTGAGAGCAGAGGGCAGGGGACAGTCTGTGGATGCCTGGGACTTACCAGTGGGAATGAACAGAGTCTGGCCTTGCTTCACTGAGCACGTGTAGCACTTGTCCACATGATCACCGAAGAACATCTCGTTCTGGTTGTTGGAGGAGCTCCAGTGCTCAAACAGCGCCAGGTTGGCAGAGCTCGGTCTGATCAGGTAAAAGATTTTCTCCCCCTGGGAGGACAGCACACAAGCAGGTTAGCTCAGGGCAGAAAGGCGGTTCACACCTGCACCCACCCACCCGCACTCTGCACCTCCGGCCCTTCCCTCACCCCACTGTCCATCAAATCACAGCCTCCTCAGGACAGAAACACACGCATAGGGGGCTGGAAGGGGGGGGAGACAAAGATAGGGAGTGGGGAGACAGAAATAGGGAGTGACAGAGATAGGGAGGGGGTGTAGGGGGCTGGAGAAGGTGAAAGAGATAGAGAGGGGGCGTAGGGGCTGGAGGAGGTGAAAGAGCAAGCAAGAGAGAGCATGTGTGTAACAGAGAGAGGGGGTGAACAGGAACAGGGAGAGCATGTGATGTGAGAGAGTGTGCAAGAGTGAGAGCAAGCGCAAGAGACAGATATACAGGGACAGTGACAGAGAAAGCGTGAGTGACGGACTGGGAGCCCCAGCGACACTGAGCCAGTCAGCGTGGCCACACTTCCCCCGCCCTCCCCCCCGTACCTTGAGGACGTGATACCAGACAGAAGTGCCTCCGAAGTCGATGTGAAAGTCAGTGTAACTGTCTTGGACACCCATCAGGCAGTATTTCTGAACACTGGGCCGCTCAAACAGCGACGACTCGGGCCAGAGATTTTCGACCCAGGACAACTTCCTCACTAACTTTGGGGTCTCCACCAGATTGGATAGCCTGCAAACCGCCAAATACATAACCATATCAACACAGCGGCGACAGGATCGGGTCAAAGGCTGGGAATCCTGCAGCGAGTAGCTGCCCTCCTGACTGCTCCCCACCCAAAGCCTGTCCCACCATCGACAAGGCACAAGGCAGGAAAACTCCCCACTTGCCTGGATGGGTGCGGCTCCAACAACACTCGAGAAGCTCGACACCATCCAGGTCACAGCAGCCGCCCCCCACTCGATCGACACACTAATCCCCACCTTCAACGCTCACTCCCTCCATAACCGATGCACAGCGGCAGCTGGGCTCTTTAGAAATGCTCGGCTGAGCTCCAACACTGACGCAGAGGGGCAGCAGTGTGTACCGTCTACAAGACGCACCGCAGCAACTCACCAAGGCTCCTCCCACAGCACCTTCCCAAACCCACCACCTCTAACCCCTCAAGGACAAGGGGGCAGCAGATGCGGGGGGGGGCGGGGGAGCACCAGCCCCTGCAAATTCCCCTCCGAGACCCCCCACACCATCCCGACTGGGAACGATAAGGGCCGTTCCTTCCGTGTTGTTGGGGTCAGAATCCTGGAACTCCCTCCGTAATGGAGGCACTGTGCGGGGTTTCCCTACACCACACGGGGTCTGCAGCGGGTCACCCCCACCTTTGAGGGGGTAATTAGGGCCACGCATTAAGCGCTGAACCCAGCCAACGATGCCCACACTCTGTGGAACAATCTGAAACAAAGCAGGGGCTGTGCATTTCTCCCCGGCACTTCCAGATGCTTCAACAAAGTTCTGGCAGAAATCGAGGATTTTCCATTAAAGATTTCCCTGTGTGACCTTCGGAAAATGCGGAGGTTTCTCAGGAGATGATGCTGACAAGCCAAGGGCTGAGATAACACCCACACATTGTCTGTCCCGTTGGAGCTGAAGAGTCAGAACGAGTCACGGCCACACAGCTTGCATAGGTGGCAGCAAACTATTCAGGAATGAGTCAGCACCGCTCCCCCACCCCCAACTTTTCCACGGGAGGGGTTGGCTCAGGATGGGATGGTGGATCACAGTCGATGCACCAAGCACTGTGGCCAACTCAGAAACATGACTGTGTGCGCGTGAGACGTTGTTTGGAGACCAGGTGCATTCAGTAAACCATGGAGGGGGTTGTGGGCAGCACGCTGGGAGCCTGAGTACCTCCCCTCTACCCCCCAGCCCTGGGTCCACAGGGCAGTGCCCATGTCACCTGGTGTCGGAGAATTCCAGGCTGATCACATTCAGCACCTTCTCGCGGCTCCCGCTATTATAATACTTGACAAAATCACCGAGCTTCATCTTGCAGTCTGCCTGGCGGGCCACATCAATAACATCGATTACTTTCTCCGAGCCTGTCGGGGCAGGACAGGACAAGGGGTGGAGGGGGGGAGCGGGAGGGGAAGGGAGAGCGTAGGAGGGAGGAGAGAGACGGGTGGAGGGAGAGGGGGAGGAGAATGGTAGAAAGGGAGACAGCGATATTACCATGTGTACAGTGAAGAAGCCCCTTCTGCATTCCCCCCCCCACCCTTGCCTGTGAGACAACGCAGGAAACTGCAACACCCCCCACCACCCCCATCCCGGCCCCCGTCCCCCTCAGGCACTGACACTGGAGCCCACAGCCTCACCATCACTACGCGGTCACTCAGTAACCGAACACCCCGGCACACATCCCCCCCCCGCCTCCCCGATCCTTCCCCCACTGCATTCCGAGCCCCAGGAAGGGGGGGCCGTGGGTCAGACACACAAGAGCCTGCCCCCCCACCCCCCACACACTTCCCAACCCATGCCCCCCCACCCCGAGGGTCACACTCACCCACAAAGCGTTCCACATCATTAACGGTGAAGGAACTCGATGGCACAGTCATACCCAGCCCGTCCTTCCTGGCAACAAGGATCGGCACACTGAAGGAATTCTCCTCTAGGTACTCTACCGTCAGCTGGTAACCGGTGGGCCTCAGGATAACCTCATCGGCACTGCGGGGTGGGGGTGGGGGGGGCACATGGAGAGACAGACACAGGGAGAAACAGGGGTGAAGGGACAGATGGTAGAAAAGAGAGTGAGAGCGAGAAAGAGAGAGAGAAGGGTGGGGTGGGTAGAGGAGTGGCGAGGGAGAGAGAGAGAGAGAGTTGTAAGAGTTACATCAGTGGTCACACCTGCCAGAGCCAAAGTGGGTCGGAACGAAGCCGGGTTACATGGGGTGGGGGGACAGTCTATACGACGATTCAGATCAGGGGCTCTTCAACGGTCCCCTCAGGGCAGGCACCACATCATTTCTCACACTGTGGCGGCCCATCAGCGCCGCGCTCCCTCGGCGCCGAGCCCTCCGACAGCGCCGCGCTCCCTCGGCGCCGAGCCCTCCGACAGCGCCGCGCTCCCTCGGCCCTGACAGAGACACCTTGCAGCGGAATGGTGTGTTTATGGTGGAACACAGGTTTACCTGGGGAACGTCCTACTGCAGAGCTCTTTAATGAAGGTGGGAGTGCCGGTCTGGACGGGCCGAGACCTAACCACAGTGCTCAGGTTCTCCTGCCTTGGCCAACTCTTCCTCCGCTTCACTGTGTTGTGGGGTGGGGGGGGAAGAGAGACACAGACAGAAAAATGGCGGGGGGGGGGGAAAACGGGGAATTGAGAGAGAAGGGGGTGGGGGAGAAGAGAGGGAGAGAGAGAGAAATGAAAACAATTAAGTAATTCAGCAATTGGTTCTGAACTCCATCTTCGTTTGTAAAGAAGTGAAATCTAACTGTGCTGTCTTCACTCCAGGTCACACTGTGAGCAGCCCATTCCCCATTCCCAGGATCACACACCTGACTGCCCCTTTGAAGATTACGGTTAATGGTAGGGCCCTGGGTTCTGTTGTGGAACAGAGAGACCTAGGGTGTTCAGGTACATAATTCTTTGAAGTTTGCCTCACAGGTAGACAGCGTTCGGCACGCTTGCCTTCATCGCTCAGACCCTTTGAGTGTAGGAGTTGGGGACGTCACATTGAGGTAGTACAGGGACATTGGTGAGGCCTCTCCTGGAGCACTGGGTCCAGTTCTGGTCACCCTGTTATAGGAAGGATTTTATTAAACTCGAGAGGGTTCAGGAGAGATTTACCAGAATGTTGCTGGGAATGGAGGGTTTGAGTTATAAGGAGAGGCTGGATAGGCTGGGACCTTTTTCCTAGGATATTGAGGTGTGACCTTATAGCGGTTTGTAAAATCATGAGGGCTACAGATCGCATGAATGACAAGTGTCTTTACCCTAGGGTGGGGGAGTTCAAAACTAGGGGGACATATTTTTAAAGTGATAGAAGAAAGAGTTAAAACAAGACATGACGGGCAATTTATTTTTACACACACACAGTAGTTTCGGTATGGAATGAGCTGCCACAGGAAGTCGTGGATGTGGGTACAATTACAACATTTAACAGACATTTAGATAACTACATGAATAGGAAACGTTTGGAGGGATATGGGCCAGGAGCAGGCAGGTGGGACTGGTTTAGTTTGGGAACAAGGTCAGCACGGACTGGTTGGACCGAAGGGTCTGTTTCCATGCTGTATGACTCTGACTCTAGATGGCATATTTTTAAGTTGACAGAGGAAAGATTTAAAAGGGATCCGAGGAGCAATTTTTTCACACAGAGGATGGTGTGTGTATGGAATGAGCTGCCAGGGGAAGTGGTGGAGGCTGGTACAATTACAACATTTAAAGGCGCCGACCCTCCGACAGCGTGGCGCTCCCTCGGCGCCGACCCTCCGACAGCGCGGCGCTCACCTTCTGATAGTGCCCATTCCCAGATAAACCTGAACAACAGTTGGGATTGAATTTCCCTCGGCTCCGGGATGTAGGCGTATAAATTCAGAGCAGCGGGGGGGCACAAGTTTGCTTCACCGTTCAATGAGGTGATGAGGCCATATCCATACACTCCCACCCTGCTCCCTACGAAGCTGGTTACTTACTCACAGAGGGTCCGTGAACCACCTCACAGTTGGGACAGTGATACAGATCGATCTCTGCCGCCTCATCCTCTTCGACACCAACACAGCTGGAGAGACACCGAGCACAGGTTAGAGGGGCACGGCGCCCGGTACCAGCTCCCGATTGCGGTGGCCAGCTCAGTCCTCCCTCACCGAGCATGATACCTACACCTCTCCACTTTCTCCCCCAACGACCCGCCCTCCATCTGCCTGCAACTCTTTGCCCATCCTACTCCCTCTTCCTCCCCACTTAACAGGAGAGGGGGGGCAACCTTGTTCTCTAAGCTTCACCCTTCACATGTCAGCTCTCTCTCCGTCTCCCCTCCACCCCCTTCATCCTGAGCTACTTCCCCTCCCTGAATCTGAAGACCCTCCTCCTCTTCAAGCCTCCTCACCATACTCCTATGCCCCTCACCTCCTGACAGCCTTCCTTGTTACTATCCCATCCCCTCCTCATCCCTCTCTTCGCTCCCCACCACCCCCATCTGTCCTCTCTCCCGAGACCCCTCGTCACTCTCCCTCTCACATTCCCGACCCCCACCCCTAGGCAAATCTCCAAATTTCCTCCCCTCCCACCACCTCCTGTCAAACTCACTCTCCACCCTCACCCTCTTCTCCCTCCCTAGCCCTGCACAAGCCTCACCCATTCCCTCTGAATCCATCCCATTCCCTCCACCTCTCCCTCCATTCCCCCATCCTCTTTCTTTCCTTCCCTCCTTCTCTCCCTCCCTCCCTCCCTCACGCCCTCCCATTCGCCCTCCCATTCACCCCCCCATCAACCCTCCAGATTTCCACTCCTTTCCCTACCCCACTCCTCCTAAACTCCGAGTCCCTGCACTCTCCCCCTCCCGGCCCCTCATCCCTGTCTCTCTATCCAGCTATTCATTTCTTCCCCCTACCCCTATTAAATCTCCCAGTCTCTCTTCCCCCGCCCCCCCCGCCGAGGCCAGTGTCACCCCCCTTATCTCCCCTCCCTGTCACCCCCACCCCTCCCTCAGTTTCCCCAGCCCCTCACCTGCCGTGAAACCAGTCCTGGCACAGGTCGCACTCGATCATGAAGCGGGTCACATCGTATGGGAGGCGACAGAGACAGTACAGAGGAACGGAGGCCATGGCCCCTGCCCTCTCCCTGACCCCGTCCCCCAGGGCCAGGGACAGAGACAACCACCCCCCCTACCCCTCACAGAGGCTGTCCCCTCCCCCAAGGACTCACAGGGAGAGAGAGACAGAGAGATCCACCGTCCCCTGAAGGACAGGGACAAAGACTCCCCCACCCCCACCCCTCAGCAACTCAGGGACAGACAACCCCTCCCCCAGGGAGGGGCAGGGAGACAGAGAGACCCCACCCTCAGGGACAGATACACTCCCCCACTGCCGGTGACACAGACAGCCCCCACCCTCAGCGACACACGGGGGCGACAGAGACAGCCCCCACCCTCAGCGACACACGGGGGCGACAGAGACAGCCC